TTGCATAACATACTGAATGGGCATTTGTTCAGATGTGTTTTGATAATATAATGAAGCTAATAGCAAGGCTTACTACATTTGTGAACAAAAAAAAAGCGTTACCTAAAATACATAATGTCATATATAGTGTGTTGGGTTTATCCCTAATTACCACGAACAAAGGGCGTAGTCACTTAGAGAAGCTTTATAATTTCTGTTACCATTACTCATGTGAATAAATCACCTGATGTTCTTGGCTATCACCCGTATATTGAATAAATTCTGAAGAAAGTCCTATCAGAGAGAAAGCAAAGGTCATTTTTGGCCAACATGTCTCGCTTTGTCAAAGAGCAGAATTTGGTTCCCATGATTAACTAGTTTATCTAGTATTTAATTAATGAAGATAGAGTTATTGAGAACAAATAGGTTTAATAAATTATTGAACTCAGCAAATTGTATAAACTGCTTTCTAACCATAGTTCTTTATATATTGAGCTTATAATAAAGAAGCAGTTTCTGTTGGTTAGTGCTTTTGAATAGTGATAGGAATATTTGGCAAATGTTTTAGTTGAAAGACTGATTCAGTTCAGAGCAGATGGAGCCTTTGACTGTAGAGAGCGATTGTCAGTATGGCAGGACAGGAAGTGTCTGTTTAAATATTTATATAATATCTAAACAATGGGCCTAAACCATTATTTTGTTCTTGTGGAACATAGTGATTAAATGAAAAAAATAGGTAATCTCTAAATATTCCATGGATAAATTTCCTTCCTAGGAGGCGAGGGGAGGGGGAAAACACCCAAAACAAACAATGCCCCCAAAAATAAACACCACATGAGAAAGACTGTGTAATACCGTAAAGATACGCAATACCGAAAGACAGTTCATACCGTACTGGGGTATGAACCAAATGTTCTGTCTGAGGGTGGGATTTTTTTTTTCTAAAAAGTGAAACTACTACGATGCATCTCTCAATTCAGATAGTGCCCAGAACTAAGAAATTATGGAAGTGGTTGAGGCAAACACTTCTTAGAGAATGAAACTGGTAAACTAGGATGGTGCTGTTAAGGATAGATTTGCTGGGGTTGCAGAACTGTGAAGTATCTCTCTGGGGACAGTGTGCTTTTTGTACTTCTATTTCTCCTCTTCTCTTGAGAACACTCTGATTTACTTTTGCGATAAACCTGTAACAACAGGGGAATCACATTGCTGAAATGAGTTTAGCTGGAAGGGATACATAATGTCAGCTGAAAAATAGCATTTGGTAAATATGTTTTGGCCATGGCTCAGCAAAAAGCAGATCCTGTCAGCTAAATAACATTCTGTTTTCTTGAAAGTGTCTTTTAGTTGAAAAGTAGTTAGAATTGTACAGTCATTGCATTTTTGAAAAAAAAAAAAAAAAAATGGTTTGTCTTGTGTGCTAGATACGTGTTCCTGACAAGGCGAGCATGGATCACTTTGGTTTTCAATACATTTATTCTCCAATGCACCCTTGACATAGGAAAGTGTTATCAGGTGTGGGGAAGTGAGTAATGTCTATGTCTACATTTAATACTGTTCTTTGGGTCCTGGGTGAGGAAATAGCCTTCAAGAATCTATATTATTGTGGGATACTCAGCTGACATCTATTTTGTCTATGCCATCTGCCCATGCAATGTCAAGGCCCTTCTGAATTGTGAGAACAGAACAATAGAAAAAGAAATAGGTAGAAATTGGGAGACCGGATAAAGTATGCCTGCCTTATCCATATTCTCAGTAGGTGGGTGCTTAGGTCTGTGCTACCTTAACTGGACCATTTCCTAAGAATGTGAAGAGTCTTTATATGCGACACATAGCCACTGTCATATGGTGTAGACATTTGGGTATTAGAACCTGCACTGAAGTTCCTAAAGCTGTGAACAAATTACGGAAATAAGTGTTTCTGTCTGGGCTTCAGGTAGTAGTCACTGTGGGAAAGTAATTTACGTATTTTAGAAATGTAAAAATGACGTTCCAGAGTAAACATTCCAGCAGAAATAATCTGGCCTCGTTTTTCTCAGCCGGTAAATTGGGAAAGCATCATTCTGTAAATACATTGTAAGCTAGGAAATTTTCATATGAACAGTGCTGTGTTTATGACAGTATTCAGAATAGCAGTCTTGCCAGAGGAGATGTCAGACAATCCTCCTGTTCTTTCTTCCTTGCTCTTGTTGAAGCACCAAACCATATGGCAAATTAAGCCTGATTTTTATTAAACTTTTCATTGTACTGAGCTTAGTGTGAACTGGGAAATGCACTTTCTTTGAACTATGCAGCCATTATATAAGCATCTTAATTAGGAGATGTTAATGTTCTTCCTTACATTCCTGGGAGTATGTAGCTCCATCTTGTGGTTAATTAAACATTTTAAAGAATCATGCTTCTGAAAATTACTTTTTTTTTTTTTTTTTTTTTTTTTTTGTGATCACCAACGTTCTTGAAGAAATGATGCAGTGGTACATGAAGCATTTCTAACTTAGGCTTCTTATTACTATGTCAAGCATAAGTCGCCGTGCAATAACTAAATGCACAGATGGGTAAATAGATAGGAGAGAAAGGTCTGCCCATACTTGCATCATGAACGTGACTGCTTCCTGAAGCTTTAAAGAACCTGAATGGACACATCCAGTCATTTAGAAAAACACTCTGCTCTCTGGTAACTCTGTTGGTCTTATTCAGTATAAGCCAAAGAATGGTCAATAGCTAGAGTGAGGACGAGATATGGGACGTGTCAGCCCCCAGGAGAACAAATCTTTTCGGCACCACATTGGCTTCTCTTGTCATCAAACTCAAGGTTAAGATCTTTGCCAGATTCGGAGCTGAGAGGAAATTTTCCCTCCGGTGAGGTTTGCAGGGAGCCTTATTACTATTATTATTATACCACTTCTGCCTTTTTAATGTGGAGAAAGATCTGTATATGATTATCTGGAATCTTTCAGATAAATTCCTTTGCACAGCCGGTTATTAGTTTTGCTTTCTTTCTGTGGCTTGTTCCAAGTGGGGCATTGCACCTGTACTACATCTTAAATTTGTCATGAACAATTAGGTGATGTTGGATGGCCATGGTGGAAATGGCAGTTGTGTAGACATCTCTGAGATTTTTGTGCTGGCTTGTGGCTGGCTTCACGCCTTTCAAAGTACTGTTCTTATATTAGATGGGAAGGTGCACTTCTCTTGTAAATAAGTCTCACAAGTCAAGGCAGAAGACGATCAGTTAAGCTTTTCCCTACAAAAGTGAGCAATGGTCATGACGTTGCAAAATTGTAAGCATAACTTCATGTTAAGAAAAAACACGTATTTTTAGGCTTGATGTAAAAACCACCAGAGATTGGTCAAAAAATGAATCGAACAGCAGGTAACTTTTCAGTGGGAACCATTAAGTTTTGGTTTCATCACAAAACTTGGAGTTACAAAGTTACTTTGCCCTTTTGTCACCTGCAGTGTTGTCTGCCTCTGTGCTTTGGCATGACATGCTCAAAAATACATGAGAAGAAAACTTCATCCATTAGTATTTTTGATTTGGAAGGAGGAAGGGAAAAAAAAAAAAAAAAGCAAAACAGGTTTTTACTTGGAAATTTCTCTGTTCCCCAAAGGGTTGGAGAATTGAAAGTTTATCTCTGAAAATGCGGGTTTCCTGTTTCATAACTTGTGGCATTTTTTTTCTCAATTAAAATAAAGGAATGCTGATTATGGAGTTTAGTCAAAATCTAACTGCCCAATAATCTGCAAACCAGCATTGCTGAACCCACAGCAACAGGGCGCCAAACACGTATTTCCTCAGGAACATTGTTAAACACCCTGCATATTTATTATCTCAAAATGGGAGCAGGTCCAAATTTCTAAGGCCACTTTTTTCCCTTCCTCTTCCTGAGCTGTAATTCAGACCAGCATATAAATATTTGACTTACAGTTTCTGTGCAAATACTAACGATATAAAATTGCTAGAAACAAAAGAACATGAAACGGCAGAGGGAAGGAATGGTTTGGCAAGATTGTCAGCCTTAAAGGGCAAGATTAATTTATAATCCTTCTAGATTCTGGTGTACAAATACAAATTTGCAAAGCATGTAGCTTATATCAAACGCTGTGTAGCTCTGCAAATTTGCATATGCTACTGTCCCTCATGTGAGACTGCCTTGAAATAGGATTTTTAGGGTTTTTTTTAATTATTATTATGGGGAAACAAGGTAGTGATAGTAACAAGGGGTTTCCGTACACACACACACACACACACACATGTGTATATATACAAATCTACACATAAATTTGGAAAGTGGAGGAATTCCAACTGTGTGACTAAGCAGAGCTCTGGGCAGGATACCCAAATATTTTCGTGAGGAGTTTTTTCCCTTGGTTTAAAATCCTGGGAAAGAATGACTGTAAAAGGGAGGAGAGGGTGGGAACCACCTGAAAGCAGTCTATTTTGTAATGACTTTTTGATGACTAATAAAAAGGACTGACTAAATGGAAAAATGGAAAATAATGTGTGATGGCTATCTGGTATTGTAAGGGTTGTTGTGAAATAAGTGTGCTTTATGCCACTCAATGCAATATATCTCTTTTTTTTTTTGTAAGTCTATACCTGGGTGGGTTTTTTTTTGTTTGTTTGTTTTGTTTTTTTTTTTTTTGTGTTGTGTGGGTTGTTGTTTTTTTTTTTTTAGTTAAATTGATGTCAAATTGTAGACATAGAATGAATACTGTAGCAATGGAATAATAGAAATTTTAAGTGGCGAACTAGAAGACAGTAAAGATAAGATAGGAACTGGCTAAGGACACAAGTAGCTTTTCTGGGGTTTAACATAAGAATTTCACAGTGTTTTTCTGAATTATTGTAACTGTATTTTATATATTGTGTATTACCAATAACAATGTTTCATAATTATATACTATTGGCAGCAGTATACCTCGGCATTAGATTAAAGATCAAATGGTTTATGTAATTTTAGAATTATTTTAGAAGATTTTATAATATATCCTGTAACTTCTTGTTTTGTGTCATGCAGGTCATCACCAGTGAAGGGACAGAGGGAGCAAAGTTTCGACTCTCTGGTAAGGGAGTAGATCAAGAGCCAAAAGGAATTTTTAGAATCAATGAGATCAGCGGGGATGTCTCCGTGACCCGAGCCCTTGATAGAGAAGCAATTGCCAATTATGAGGTGAGTACTTGTAGCAATAGAATCGCTGCCCCTATGTTTATAATACTTTTTTTTTTTTTTTTTTTGAAGACTAAATTGCGGCTACTGTCTTATAAGATTTCCAGAAGAAACGTTTGTCCTTTGGAAATAGTAAATGTGTTTATTTTTACATTCAATCAAAACTCCACTCTGCTTTCTGCATATAATTTCTGTCATTTATCTTTAGTAGAATTACTGTCTGAACATTGTGTATGCATTTGATTGTGAATACAAAATTATGTTTGGACAAAAGAAGATCTTTTTGGGAAGTTGCGACTAAGGTACTACATGGTTATACTCTTTCTTCTTTATTGTCAAGCTGTCAATGGAATACGCTATTCAACTCCATTTTTAGTAATGGATATCTTTTAATAGAGATAAAGAAGATTCTGTTAATATGAAAATGTTAGCAGATACATCTGTCAGATATATGTCTCCCACAAAGATTTTACTAAAGATTCCTTTCCTTGTCAATAAATGCTATATTTCTCCCCACTGAAATTCTAACAAATGATTTCCCAAAGCTGCAAAGTAACTGCACCACGATGTCCTGAAATGCATAATATAAATAGAGCATCTGACAAATCATCTTTTCTGTCCATCTCTTGAAACGTGCTGTCAGATAAATTGTGTCTGGTTATTTTGTGAGCAGCAGAATTTAAAATGCTTCCCAGTTGGTACGTTTGCACGTTGCCACTTCTGCCCCAGCACGAGGGACTGACGTCCGTATCCTCGTGTAGCAGGGAGCGCAGAGCTCCAGTCCCTGTGGGGAACAGGCTCTGGTGACAGTTCTGTCTGATGTTCCTGACCTCTTTGTTTTGTTTTCTGCTGTGTAGTAACTGATATGTGTAGTTTCAATGCTGGAAGAGCTTGCCAGTTAGATGACTAGTCATACTAGCTCTAACAGCACTGCTAAAATTTACCATATGTTGGTTTTCAACACTTAAACATCTATTTCTCATCTGGGTCTACAGTGAAATGTATGTTAACCACTCGCATAGGATTTATGGTAGTTACTGGTGTCCTTCTTAAAAGAAAAACATTGCAGTTTCTCTTTTTAACACTGTTCCTTGTCTTCATTTACCAGCTGTTTCTTATTTTATCAGTGGCTTTCCACCTTAATGTGTTCAGTATAAACCTTGAATATTTTTTTTTTTCTGCAAAATCATAGTAGTCTTTTCAACCTAATGCATCAAACCACAAATGGCTCTCCTATCTGATCTGGCAAAGTATACCCTTAAATTAAGACAAAAACATTTCCCTCGAGGAGCCTTTCTGAAGCAATGCAAGCTACATACAAATAGCGCAGTGTAGATTATCCAGAGCAATGTGAATGTATATCCTAATAGGCTGTAGTGCTTCCTAACCTGTTATATAGCACTCTGCTCAGCATGCTCACTGGCATCCTGTTGTGCAAAATGTAGTTGAAAAGTTCTGCAGGAGAACCCTCAACTTGATTAGTCTGCCTCTGACTCCAGCCCATTGTTTTCCAATAAAGATGTATCACGGTGTCTGGAAGGCAGCAGGATTTTCCCCCTGATTTCCTTAGTACACCGAAAGACGAATTACATGAAAGACCCTTAAATTTCTCTCAAAAGTGTTTTTGTTTTCTGCTTTTGTTTGAGCCCCCCTCAGAAAAGTGTGCAGCAATTTGGTTTGTCCTCTAAAGAGGTTTGATAAAGAGCATCCTGATAGGAATTCTCTGGGTCAGAGTAAACCAGTGGATTTACATGACATGGTTTTATTTTGGGTCTTGCTACAGCCTGTTGATGAAACTAATAAATGATGCTCTGAAGAAGGGGCTTAACTAGAATATGGGCATATTGAATATTATTGAATTTCTTCTGGGTTGGTGAGATAAGCAGGTAGCCTAGAGCCCCTATTTAGTGGGAGCAAAGGGTGTTCAGTTGTACAAATACTCTCTCAAAAATAACGTCTTTGGTTTTCTCTCAGGACGAATAACACTAGTTGGACATTTCAGGCAATGGTAAATCGTTTATTTAATATTGAAAACGTAGATGTGTAAAAACAGATGAAGGTACTTTGTGGGGAGCCTTAAAATGGATTTTCTAGTCCAAATCAGTGAGGTACACCCCATCCAAAAAATGCCATTAATCTGAGTTCATATTGGACCCAGTCTTTTCGAATTGAAGAAGAGCAGAAATATTAGTGACTTTTCGGTTGCAAACAAAATCAAGTGCTTCTGAAAAGAGCTGCAATAATAGAAGTAATGGATTCAAATGAAGTTGGAATTCTAGTTGTGTTAAGTGTTGATAAGAGACTAGTGAATTGGGAAATGTTTGAATGGAGGGTCAGTGAGGACCGACTGAAAAACACGGCTACGGGGTAATCTGTTAATTCAAAACACTGAGGTCATTTTCAAAACGTTACATTTACATAGATAATGTATTCATAGGCAGAATGCTTTCATGCCAGTAAAAGCAGGAAGAGTTGTAGATATTGATTATCGTGTCCAAGATGACAAAATTTGCTGAAGAACTGTGCTTTGTTCTTCACTGAGAGTAGGGTAGGCTTAGAAGAAATGTGAACAATACTTCTTTAACTTTTTACAAGTTAAGATTTTGCTTAGACATCGAGGTTTTGGTTGGGCATTCCTTGGGTATAGGACAAAGCCTGAGATTGTAATGAAGTTGAATGTGTATTTCCCATCACT